GTAAAAACTAAAAAAAAAAACGCTGCCTAAAGTCTAAAAGCGCTGTCTAAAGTGGGCGAATAGACAGCGCTTTCAAAGGAAAGCGTTGTCTAAAGCCTATCTGGAAAAATTACAAAGCGCTGCTAAAGGGGTATATAAAAAAGCGCCGTCTATTCTAAAAGTGATGTCTAAAGTGGACATAAGACAGCGCTTTTACATTGAAAAAAAGCGTTGTCTTTTCTTTTAGCAGCACTGCTTTAGGCAGCATTTTAAAGCGCTGTTAAAGGCCAAAAAAGCGTTGTCTTTTCCCTTATTTGTAGTATCGGGTGGCGACTTTCACTTTGTGAGTTAAGTCAATTAATGACTTAATCTCAAAATTTTACCGCTATAATATGAGTAGGTTCTGAAAAGATAAAATAAAAATCTACAAGTTTTATGTGAGACCAAAAGCTAACTTGAAGTTCTCATTATTCAAATGTTTCGGTTTTTATACCAGACATTTGAAGCAAAAATTTGTTTTTTGTTTTATGTTGGGGGAATTTTATGTGTTTGGACCCGGTGCTCTTAAAGCCAAACCTTTTTTATATTTATTCTCACTTGAGAAATCAGAATAGGTAGGCCAAATCACAAAATTTTGAATACATACTTGTTTGAAGCTTTTCTCACATGGCCGGATGAACTTCCCTTTTGATCTGTTGTTTCATCAATTCGCCAAACCTTGAGCTTTTATGTTATATATTTAATTTCATTATTTTTATTCCTTTCCTATTAACATTGTTTGTATTTTAATGCTTAATTCTAATTATGGTAGAATTAATGGTATTTAGTTTGATTGAATTTGGTTTCTTAGGGGATAGTTGATATAATATAGTTGTACTTCGCTTGATTGTTTAACTATAACTCGCCGTCAACCGTGATGCTTTATCTAGTAATAAGAATTCAAATTTGTATAGGGTAGATCGACGCTTGCTTAATGTACTCTATAATCAAACAATAATATAATAGAAAGTAGAGATTAAATCGAAGAACCAATAATAGTTCCGAGTTGTTGATTCAGCGGATCAATTGATTTTTATTCATACACATTTTTATTGAACTTCACTAAAAATAAAAACTCAATTTATAACTTTGTTGATTCTAAAATTTAGGTATTGAATTGGAAGTCCTTGCGATACGACTTAGGTGTTGTTTCCCTAAACTACATTTTCTTTTAACTCGTTTTTGACTCGTGTGCAGCAGTGGTTCAAAGATCAATGTAGATTTTCTCATCGGACAACTTAGTAGGATGGGCATTCGTCCTTCCAAAAGTGGCTAGACCAATATAGGCTAGAAAAAGGAATAACTGGAGGCTATCCCACATGGTTATATTTTCTCTACCTCACTTATATTAAATATTATGATTGTATAACCATCATCTTTATGTACAAGGATATTTTATGGTTATAAATGAAATATGCCATTTTTTTGGAATGTTTGCTTGTTTCTATTTGTGCATGTTGACGACGAGTATGAGGTACGACCTGCATGCTCAAGGACCTATACACATAAAGTTAAGGAGGTTGTCAGAGACGCTTTGTACATCTGGCTACATCAATCAATTCCTCACTTAAAGTCAGGGATGTTGCCATTAACGCTTTGTACGTACGAGTACAATGATCAATTTCCCACCTAAAGTCATGGGTGCTGATGGAGAGGCATTACACGTCCGGCTACATCAATCAATTTTCCACCTAAATTCAAGGGTGATGTCAGAGATGATATGTATGTCTAGCTACAATAAACAATTCCCCACAAAGCAATAACAGTCCACTCCCACTAGTAACTAGTCACTTTAGATGTTACGGTGGGTTGGTCACACGTCTACCCATGATCGGGTTTTCCTCTTATCGGGTTTTCATCTAGTAGGGGAAAGGGAACTGACCTTTGGCAGGACATGGCCCAATGACGTCTAATTAACTTTGAGGGAAGATCTCGTAAGTTTGCAAAAGATCTAAAGCTAAACATTTGGGATCCTATAAATGAACCTTTAACAAGTAAAAAAAGAATTTTATTCTAAAAATAATAGTGTGTACATATATGCTTCCATTATAGGGTACTCCACATGCAGTACACAAAAAAGAGTCGACTAGACTACTTCTGCAGAGAAATGATCTTTTCGTATTTGACCACTTGATCCAGCCAGATTTACTCCCTAGAGATAGTCAAAGGACGGTGGAAATGGTCCACATGTTGCAAAGCATTTTTGAACGACTGCAAAACTGGCTTGAGGGTAGCGCTTGTAAAGTCGACCAATTGTTCAGTCAACAAAGCATTATGAAGGTGCAATGACTCTGATTCACTTTGAGTGGAATGAAAGGTTGGCCTAAATAGAAGTTAGAGCCTGGTTTCTCTTCGCCATTATCTTCACCAAATGAGTCACCTAATCACGGGGAGAACTGTGAGATTAAGGGAAAGTGGGGCATTGTCCACCCCGGTAAGAGAGGTAGAAACTTTCTCTACTTTCTCCAAGTATTTATCTCGTTGAAGCTTCATATTGCAAACACCCTTCTCCAGTAGTTTCGTCTCAAGATGGTACCGGTCGGACCAAAGAGACTCCAAGTGGCCAGACTGAGCAGAGGCACCAGACTAAGTAGAGGCACCAAACGTACCTAGCCCAGACAATCAAAAACTCCAAACACACCAAAAGAAAAGGAGAAACAAATCAAAATAAGAGCGGGCTAGAGGCTGTTAAATAGAGCGCCAATTAAAGCTCTCTAAACCAGGGTTAGCCGAAGCAAGAACCAAACTCCAAAAAGCACATTAATAGACATCTAAGGAATGCCGAAGACACTTATGTCGCTATTGGCTCAAATGCAGAAAAGGTTTCTCAAGCTTGGTGAGAAAGCACAAGAGTTATCAATGAACTTAACAAGAAACCATTTCCAAGCCAAGAGAATGCTCATGTTTTCCACGTCTTTCATTGTCACCCGTGAGCCTATAAATACTATATCATTAAGATATTTCCAAATCGATTAGACCACAACAATTCCAAATCATTAAAAAAAAATCTCTAATTCTAGACACTCTATTGAGAAAAAAAGAACATCTAAAAAATGGTCTGAAGGTATCTCTATAAAGTTACACATCACTCTAACCAACTAAAAATCTTATATCAAACAGAAACAACTATTTTGCAGGTTAAAAAAATGAGAGGACGACTCAAGAATCCAACACTCTTATGAAGTGGAGGTTGGTGGGTGAAGGGTCAATTACCTTCTTTTTGGGGATATAATAATCCTTCCAATATTAATGGATAATTGAGTTATGGTATTTAAAAGGCAAAATATTCATTTTAGTCCCTTAATTATACTATTGGATTCAAATTGATCTCTTAATTTTTTTCGTATCACTTTGATCCCTTAACTTTTAAAACGTTTTATTTTAGTCATTTTTATCTAATTAGCGACGAATTTAGCAACCAATTTCAAAAATTTTCCGTCGTTAATTAGACAAAAATAATTAAAATGAAATATTTTAAAAGTTAAAGAATCAAAGTGACACAAAAAAAAATTAAAAGACCAATCTGCATTCAATAGTATAATTAAGAGATCAAAATAAATATTTTACCAATTTAAAATTAAACAAGTGAATTACACTGAACCTATGGGGCTCAATATACATTCTCCCATTACTAGAAAATTGGAGAGATGATATAAGCTGAATAAATATACTAATTTTCATAGTGAAAAGAGTTTGTTAGTACATACATACATGATACTTTTTTACAATATTTTAGCAATTGTTGAATATTAATCTCTAACGTGAGAGGTAGTATACAAATAGTAAACGATAAAAAATAAAGTAGGAGTTGAGAGATGCGTGGGCTTTTGTGGTCTTTCAGTTGACATATTCAAGATCTGATCCCAATGTATTCTCTCATTCATATGGGATTTCGTACGGGCTTCATATTCCATGATGTCACATTATCTCTTTTTCTATACCATATACTATAATAATAATCACCTATCATATGCATTTGCTAAGCTTTCTTCGATTATTTTTCACACGTTATATAAAATCCAAAATGAATCTTTTCGAATTTTTCTCTATTAGTTGGCACATGTACCACGAGTGCTCCATTTAATTTTCAACAACAAAAGTGTTCTCTTTCTATGCAAAAAGACAATATTGGTCATTCGAGTTTTAAAGAGAGACAAAAATGAGAAGCATGCATGCAATTTGTATATGCTATAATGCTAGGGCCTATGAACTAAGGTGCAACGTTAAAGAGTTTGCATTATTATCTCTCGAGTGTGAGGGAACACGAAGCATTAAAAAAATTGTTAGACGGCCTAATTAGTAGTAATTAAGTACTCTAAGATGCTAGATCCAACTTGCTATAAAGCATCCATATTTTTCTATGCATATTTAAGAATTTGAATCATCTCTTTTAGATCTTTCACGCATTCACAATGTTAAGATGATATTGTCGACTATATAAAATAGTTTTAATTTCTCAAAATTATATATTTTTGAATTAAAATCGATTAGATATGTGAATGTGTGAAAATATTGATTTTTTTTTTTACCAAATCCATATTTCAAACTATTGAAGTTGATGATGTGAAGTTTTTATATCACACTGTTTTTCAAAATCTTAATTTGTTTGTTAATTACATAAAATTGGTAATTAAAAGAGTCAATGACCTAAGATAAAGTTGACTCGTACTAATGGTCATTTTTGTCTTTTCCTATTAATAGAGAGCCAAAATAATCAAATACTAGTATAGAGTGTCCACTACCCTCCCTACAGTTGTTAATTTAAAAAATAGATACTTGTAGACTAATTAATTTAATTAGGAAGTTCATTAAGAAGCTAATTAATAAAAGTCAAAACTAGATGCGTCCAAGTGTGTCCAAAGTTAAGAAAACGTCTTTAGGTTAAACGACGAATGCATTGACTTTTGTGCCTTAAAACTAGCTTATACTTTTATTTATATATCATAAAAGAAGACAATGGTAGAGATTTTTTCTTGTTCATAATGGAAACTAATCTTTCATTGAAGATAGATAGTAATGATTTCGAGCAAGAAGTTGAAAATCATGAACATGTTAAAGAAGATGAGAAAGATGAAGTTCATGAAACTACAGCTGGTGAAATAGAAGATGATGATGCTTCACTTTCTTTGCAAGATAACACAAAAATAAAAGAGGTATATTGTTTTTTTCGTTGAATGAAATCAGATCCAATTATATTTGTATTATTTTCTTGAATTATAATCTCTTGAAAATTAGGTTTCTTTTTTCTCTATGTAACTTTAATTGCTTATATGAATGAATAACAGTTAAGTGCTTTAGAAATGGAGATGGAAAGTATGAAAGAAGAAAACAAAGCATTGAGGAAAGTGGTGGAACAAACAATGAAAGATTACTATGATCTGCAAACAAAATTTTCAGCCATCCAAGAAAATAATAATAATAAAAGAAAGGTAATTTATTAAATTTATTTTATTCATATATAGTCTTCATTGACTATATATAATTCCTTTTTTATTTATTTGTGTAGTTAACATTAATTAGAGATCTCACTTTTCAGGATCATCATCAACTTTCTCTCTCGCTACAAGACAATAATGCAACCACAAGTGGTGAAGGGCCATCAAGATTAATTCATGAGATCTTTAGTAAAAATATTCAAAGAGCTTCATCACCAATAAGACTGAGCAATAGTGATGATAGTATAAGTGAGAGTGATTTGGGATTATCACTAAGGTTGCAAACAAGGACATGTGAAAAAGATATTGAAGAAAATAAAGAAGGAAAAAAAGAAGAATTGGCAGGTTTTGAGTCAGTGCAGAATAAATTTCAAAGAGTGCATGAGTTGCCTGGTATTACTACTCATCCTGCTTATTCCCCTCCTAATAGAAAGGCTAGGGTTTCTGTTAGAGCAAGATGTGAAACTGCCACAGTGAGTTTTAAATTCTCTCTATCTCTCTTCCTCCGGACTTAAATATAAACAAAAGATTATATGTATCAGGTCGATATTTAGTCCAGATACATATATTTTGTTATTCGTATTTAAGTTTGATAAATATTTTTTATGATGAAACTAAATCTTATGCTTTTGCGAAAGATGAATGATGGGTGTCAATGGAGAAAATACGGACAAAAAATTGCTAAAGGAAATCCATGTCCACGAGCCTATTATCGTTGTACTGTAGTTCCAGGTTGCCCGGTTAGAAAACAGGTATATGTTAATTTATTTATTTCTCTTGTGGAGACTGTAAAATTGTTGAATCAGAATGCAAGTAACCGATCTTGCACCTGATCTGACGATTAGCCGTCTCTGCAAAAAAGATATAATTTTTATTGATCTCAAGGATTTAATATTAACTTTAAAAAAAATTGTTTATCCATATATTTATAGGTGCAAAGATGTATAGATGACATGTCTATACTAATTACAACATATGAAGGAACACATAACCATCCACTACCTGTTGGTGCAACTGCTATGGCTTCAACAGCTTCAGCAGCAGCTTCATTTATGTTACTAGATTCAAGCAATCTCAATTCAGATTATGGTTACACATCTCAACAAACCTTTAACCCTTACATTAATAACACGTTCCACCATCCTTTAAACCCGTCTTCAAATATTCGAAACATAAACCCCAATGATCCATCACAAGGGATTGTTCTTGATCTCACTAACAACAATAATCTCAACGAACCGCGGCGTTTTTCTATGGCAGGTAGCTCCAGCTCCAGCTCCATCGCTACCGATCAACCTCGTTTTCCTTGGTTGCAAAACAAATTTCAACAGAATAGTAGTTCTAGTAGTGCTAATATTGGAATGAACACTTTTCAAAACCCTAGAGTACCATTGGATATTCATGATAGAATTTGGAAAGGATCAGAAGAAAGTAGTAATACTAATAACAATGTGTCTGCAATTGCATCAGATCCTAAGTTTAGGCTTGCTGTTGCAGCTGCAATTTCATCGCTCATGAATAAAGAAAGCAACAACACTACTACTACTCATGGTAGCAACAATTAGATCATTGATCAACCTCTTTCTGGAAATGGTTAACCCAGTATTTGATTTTTTTTCATTTTACAGTAATAATAAGTTTGTTTTGAAGACAAAAAAGAAGCAGCTGTTGAAGCCATAGCAGTTGCACCAATAATACTAAGTGAGTTAAACATTACATTTTTCACATCATGCTATATAAATAATTATATTCCTATTATGAGGGAGGTTATATACTAGTTAATTATGTTTTACTTGTAATATGTTTTTTTTACTCATTTCTAGTCTTTGTAATGTACTTAAGTATAGTTTAGTTGATAATAATTATGTATAAATATTGCTGAATCTCATATCAGATTCTTTTCTTTTTATGTTCTATTTCTTCGTAGGAAATTGATCGACTATTATTCGTGATTGTTATTTCTTTAAAAGGGTAAGATTAATTAGTAGACACTAATTCAAGCACAAAGTGCGCAAAGATTAGATTAAACTAATACAGATGTCTCTAAAATAACCACCACATTAATATACAAATTCCATGGTATCGCCAAAACTACAGAAATAAAAAACTTGATTATAGTAATTATGTATGTGTTGACATTAAATTACCTATTTTTAACAAATGAATCTAATCATCATTCCATTATTCCAATGAATCTTTTTAGAGATTTTAATCAATGTTTATTAGTATAAACTGTGATTATCGTTTGAATAAGTTATAATTGTTTGATTTTCAAATGTATAAAGTAATGTCGAAGGACGGCGGGAGCCTTGGGTTCTTGGGAGGGGAGGTCTAGGTTTAGAGTTTTAGGTGGAGACGAACTTTCTTTGTTTGGGAGGAGAAAATTTTTGAGGATTTGTTTGTCCCTATCTCGAGGCTGGCTAAACGGTGCCGGGAAGATACTTGAGTCTGGAAATCAGGCCTCGCATCGAGATTTTTAATGAGATATGCTTATGATAATCTCTTGGCTTTTATCAGCGTTGGGGAAGTTAGGTCAGAGAGGGTCTTGCTAGGATTTGGAAGAGTTGAGCGTCTTCTAAAGTCGTATTAATATCTTGACAGTTACTTCATAATAGGTTGCCAACTATGCAGAATCTCTAGAGGTGTCAAATATTGTTGGGATTTATTAATTCGAGGTGTGGAGTGTGTTGGTGATTTTAGTATCACCAATGTATTTTAGTAGTAATGTGATTTACTAAAGGCCGATGCAATTATGCGTTAAGCTTGGAAACGAGTTAGGGAAGTGCGGAGTGCATGCTCGTCGAGCCAATGTATAATTGAATATGAATAATTGAAACAGGGTTCCAAGGGGCAAAGCCCCTGGCGGGGTGCGGGGTACGGGGCAGCGCCCCGTTGGGGTTCCAAGGGGCGAAGCCCCTGGCGGGCTGCGGGGCAGCGCCCTGTTGGGGTCCAAGGGGCGGTTTTTCCGAACATAACCATTTTTCCGAACAGGTGTGTCTTTTAGGTTTCAGTTATTGATCTCCTATATAAGGAGTCATTTGGCCTCGGTTTCAAAGAAGAAAAAATGACACTTTCTCTCTACATTTGTAATCAGTTTCTTTTGCCAGAAACAGATTGTTCTTCGAGAATTATCCCCACATAGATTTCGTGAACCCAGGCAAGAATAGGGTCGAAATACTTTGTTCGGAAAGTGTACGAACACGATTCTTCGAAGTTATCCAAGATTATCATACCCAAATATCTAACAGAGTGTGCATGAGATAGGTGGAGTCGACAAATCATATTTTTTTACTTTTGTGAGGTTGTCTCTGTTATTTGACATAGCGTGTTTAGGTGGGTGGGACGGCCTGGACATTTGCCGCATTCAATTTAAGGATTGTTTGAGTTGTTTCAGGATTTGGACAATTTGTAAAATGCAAAATAAAGTTTTTTTTTTAAAGATGGTTTTGGAGTTTCTCTTTTGACTGGGAGCGGGATCCGCTCAAATGTTTAGGCATCAGCGGATGTGTTAGGTGGTCAATTGCGCTCCTTTTGTTTTCCATAGTTGGTTGTATCTTCCTCTCTTCATTTTGCTCTCTCCTGAGGTTTGTTGCAACTGAGTCTTCAAGATAGGCCAGTTTGATGGGTTGGTTGGCTTGGTTTTTTTCTTTTTTGGTTATTATGTTGTTTTGCTCTTTGCTTTTTTTATTTTTCGTATAATTATTGTCGAGTTTGATGTTCTTGAACACTTCTGGTGCTCTTTGTTTCTTTTATAACTTTTATTTCTCCTTTTACATATATGACATGTTTGCCAATGTTAATGTCATGCTTGTTAGCTTTGCTTCTCCCTCTAACTATATATATATATATATATATATATATATATATATATATTTCCAGGATCAAATTTTTTCCTTCTTCGTCTCACACTTCACTCAATCTAAATCTCTGGTGTTTCTTTCTCTTCCCTTAACTTTCCTTGTCGAGGCAAGGCTAAGGGAAGAGAAAGAAAAACCCGAGATTTGGATCAAGTGAAGTGTGTTAAAGATGGAGAAGACAAAGTCTTGATCCAGAAAAAAGATATAAATGATAGATGGAAGACGTATTTCTACAATTTATTAAATGAAGAATTTTATATCTCACTGGACTCTAACAAACTCAATACTAGAGAAGAGGATCGAAACTATAATTACTATCCGACAGATTCAAAAACAAGAAATAAAACAAGTGTTGAAAAGGATGGGTAACAGTAAATGGTTGGACCATACAACATACTTATTGAAATGTAGAAAATTCTTAGATATAAATGCATTGAGTGGCTCACTAATCTCTTTGATAAAATTATGAGTTCAAATTAAATATCATACGAATGAAGAATAAGCACTTTAGTTCCAAATTATAAGATTGAGAGGGATATACAAAATTGTGTAAATTATAGATGGGTTAAATTTATGAAGCATACCATGAATTTATGAAAAAGAGTGAGTGTATGAAAATTAAGAAAATAAAGTCAAGTTACTAAGAATCAACTTGGTTTTATGCCTGAGAGGTCGGTCATGGAAGCAATCTATCTACTACGATGTGTGATGGGAAGGTATCAGATGGACAAACAAAACTTGCACTTAATTTTCTTTGACTTAGTGAATGAGTGTGATAGAGTGTCTAGAGAGATTTTGTGGAAAATCCTAGAGAATAAAGGATTTGTGAGTGAAACTTCACCATTAGATGTTTTGTATGATGTCAAAACTAGGAAAACTTAGTATTTATGTATATTGGACGGTATCTCTATGTCATGTGGCACTCCCTTGCATTACAGGTCTTAGGAATCATTCTAAACCACTTTAAAATTGACCAAAACCTTGAAAATCAAGTTTCTACATGAAAATTGCTTACATGTGCCGGCACATACGAATTTTAGGTCGGCACATGTAACTCAATAATGAAGCATGTAGCTTCTGTTTGATACAGGCTAACACATGCATCATGCATGCCGATACATACTATAACTTTTTATTTTATGTGTCGACACATACGATTTTTAGACTGACACATATACTGCAATATTAAAGTCTGTAGTTATTTTGTTGCATAGGCTATCACATATGCCTTTTCAGGTTGGCACATACTATTAATTTTTTACTTATGTGTCGGCACATAGATATTTCAGGTTAGCACATATTGTTTGATTGAGTCAAATTTTCAATTCTTTTTAATTCTAAAAATTACCTCTTTGCATACAAACTTCTACAACTATAAATACATCATTCGTGCATCATTCCAACTTGATGAAACTATAAACACATACCACTATTGCTCTTCACCTTCAACCTCCAACTTATGCATACACACTGATAAATCACATATAATCATATTTTGTCGGGGGTGTTGTAACGCTCGTAATTTAATTAATTATTTAATTAAATTATTTTTTAGAATATTTGTGAAGAAATGTTATTAAATTGGATTTATTTTATTAAATGGAGAAATAATAATATTAGAGGTATACTATTATTATGTGGTGAAATAATGTTAGAAACTAAAATTATTTAATGTGGGCTTATATTATGTGAGTGGACGTTTTAAGAGGGTGTATTAGTTTGGAGCCCAATAAGGAATAAATAATTAATAGGTTATTTTATTATTTGTTGTTAGAATAGAAAAGAGAAGCAGTAGAAGGAAAAATAAGGATTTGTGAAGAGAACGTGAAGCTGCTGGAATTAGGAGGAAACGACAAGAACAAAGATTCAACCCGGAAATTGTGGAGCGACCTTCGATCCAAGGTAAGGGTGGGGTTATGGCTTTATAATTGGGTTCATGATGTTTAATATATGGGGTTAGATGTGATTGTTGTTTGTTCTTGAATTGGATGTATGTATGATGATGTATGATGAAGATTGATGAATAATGATGCTATGATGTTGTGGAATCAATATAGTATTATAGGTTAATGTTAGGTGATGATTTATCATGATCATAATGATGTTTGTAGGTTAATAATATGATTCCCGTAGTGAATTACAGTAGAAAACGCAGAAAATTATGCAGACTGTCGAAGGATGTGTCGACCCCAAACTGGATGTGTCGATACATGAAGGTTGTTCGACTGAAGATGAGTCGATGCATGTAGGGCTTGCATCGATACATGAAGGATGTTCGACTCAGGATGAGTCGATGCATGCATAGCTTGCGTCGATACATGTTAGTTGCAAGACTCAGGATGAGTCGACACGAAGAGAGGATGTGTCGATACATGAGTGTATGAGACTCAGGATGAGTCGACCGGTGAGTGCATGTGTCGATACATGCTGTATTGAAAGCCAGAATGAGTCAGTCCATAAGGCGGATGTGTCGACTCATAATATACAGATGAAGCAGGATGAGTCGATCCATAGTGTTTTATGTCGATACATGAGTGTGTGAGACTCAGGATGAGTCGACCGGTGAGTGCATGTGTCGATACATGCTGTCTTAAAAGCCAAAATGATTCGATCCATAAGGAGGATGTGTCGACTCATAGTATACAGATGAAGCAGGATGAGTCGATCCATAGTGTTTTGTGTCGATACATAAGGTCTGATTTCGACAG